TACATAGTACAACAGCTTATTGTGTCACTTCTATTCTTGTGAGCCCAAACTGCCTTTGTTTCCTCCCTGCTGTTACATTTATCTTGTTCAAAATCACCAAAACTATTTTTATGTTTCCTTTTGTTGTTTTACCATGCTTATGAATTGATATATTTTACATTTACCTGCCCTCCCCAGAAACGAAGGTTCAGGAGGACTTTTGTTGCTCTAATGCTTCTTCGATGGCGGTTTTGCCGTTCTCCCTTGCAGATGGAGATTGCCACATAAAGTGCACTGATGGCTCCAGTTCTTCACCAGATGCTGCATGCCCCGCACCGGCCTCAAGCACGTGAGCCACTATTACCTTGTTCTAACTGGTTAACAAAATCAAATCCATTTGCCCATTTAACTTACTTAGTTAAGTTTTGTTGATAACTAACTTTTATTGTTATTATATACTGCAGTGTCTTTGCCATTCTGTTTTATTATACTATAATCTAATTGTCAGGCTTTTTTCTATATTTTGGTACATAGATTTTAGGGTCATAGTGCAGTGCTAATGTTTTCCCTGCAGGTCATTTAGTCACCGGATGTTCTATCTTTCAACATGTGCATGCTTGCTGTCGTGCTCATGTTGTAATCGTGGCCTGTAATCAGTCCATGATCCTTATGTGATGTGATCGCAGAAGTTGGGCATAACTGCACTATTACGCAAAAGATGTGAATATTAACTTAAGAAGCGGAGATGAAACTCTGGCCGATAGCAAAAATACAAAGCTTGTTTCCAAGTATATTGATGTAACTTCACATCTTGCCCCCATTCCGGGCAGATGCTAATCAACTGAATGTATGCTAACTTTGAGAATGGAGTCACTCTTATTATGTATGCTGCCGCTGTAACTGCATAACATGCATTTCCCATTTTTGTTATGTAAAATTCTGGCAAGAAACTTGTTGGGATTAACTACGATTTTGTCCTATTTACTAGTACTATAGTATTTACTCATCTCTCAACAAATTCTTGCCCCTGCCAAGGGCAATCGGAGGAAGAGAGCTTTGACTGGGAAACTGCATGTTGAAGCAACACCTCTTGTTGAACAACCCAGAACGAGGGAAGACTCGTAGATTGCGAGAGGCCTGGCGTGTTTACTAGAGATTTAAAATATTCAAAATATCAGTAACACTATGTATTGGGCAGACTTGAAATACCAATATTAGCATATCAATTTTTTCCTACGATTTCCTTCGTCACCCATAGACCTAGACTACCTTTCTAGCTTTCTAACTCCAAGCTAGCTTTGTTACTATGTAAAAGGTTAACATTGATTTGTAATCAATAGATTTCTGTTAGCGTAACCCTACCTGGCTACCTCCAATGACCGGAGGCACATCGATCGTAGTCAAAGCAAGCATGTTGACCCATGGACGTAAACGTGCAATGTAAATTTACCTCAACGCTTTTGTGTTTGACTGCGGTGGGCGTTGGCCCGATAGGTCTCCTTGAAACCATAAATTTACCTCGGGTTGATTTATTTCTTACGTTGGCTGTGTGGCACAAGGGGCCTGGTTGGTTGCTTCAGGTCCGTAATTTTACAAGGTGGGGTTGTCCTGGTGCGTACATGATGGGTGGGGTGAAGAATACACCCTGGGTGACGAATAGTGCGACCCTATATATAGGGGCGCCTCCCAATTCGGCCTTCCCCTTTCATATTCATCCGGAGAGGGAAGGAAGGAGGAGGGAGGAGAGAAGGAAGGGGGAGGCTGAATTGCTCCCTTTCCTTTCTCTCTCCCCCTCTTTCCTTCCTCCTTTATTTGGCCTACATGGGGCGCACCAGCTCCCTAGGGGCTGGTTTGTCCCCTTCTTGGCCCATTAGGCCCATGTAGTTGCCGGGGGATGTCCGGAACCCCTTCCAGTGACTCGATATGTATCCGGTATCCCTAGAACACTTTCGGTGTCCGAATATCATTGTCATATATATATATATATATATATATATATATATGAATCTTTACCTCTCGACCATTTCGAGACTCCTCGTCATGTATGTGATCTCATCCGGGACTCCGAACAACATTCGGTCACCAAATCACATAACTCATATAATACAAAATCATCACCGAACGTTAAGCGTACGGACCCTACGGGTTCGAGAACTATGTAGACATGACCGAGACATCTCTCCGATCAATAACCAACAACGGAACCTGGATGCTCATATTGGTTCCCACATATTCTACGAAGATCTTTATCGGTCGTACCGTAATGACAACATACGTTATTCCCTTTGTCATCGGTATGATACTTGCCCGAGATCTTATCGTCGGTATCTTCATACCTAGTTCAATCTCGTTACCGGCAAGTCTCTTTACTCGTTCTGTAATACATCATCCCGCAACTAACTTATTAGTCACATTGCTTGCAAGGCTTATTATGATGTGCATTACCGAGAGGGCCAGAGATACCTCTTCGATACTCGGATTGACAAATCCTAATCTCGATCTATGCCAACCCAACAAACACCTTCGGAGATACCTATAGAGAATGTTTATAATCACCCAGTTACTTTGTGACGTTTGATAGCACACAAGGTATTTCTCCGGTATCCGGGGGTTGCATAATCTCATAGTCAAAGGAATATGTATATGACATGAAGAAAGCAATAACAATAAAACCGAACGATCAATATGCTAAGCTAACAGATGGGTCTTGTCCATCACATCATTCTCCTAATGATGTGACCCCGTTCATCAAATGATAACACATGTCTATGGTTAGGAAACTTAACCATCTTTGATTAAGGGGTTAGTCTAGTAGAGATTTACTAGGGACACGGTGTTTTGTCTATGTATCCACACATGTATCAAGTTTCCGGTTAATACAATTCTAGCATGAATAATAAACATTTATCATGATATAAGAAAATATAAATAATAACTTTATTATTGCCTCTAGGGCATATTTCCTTCACTTAGAACCATCACCACAAACACACTCCAACGAACAATCCAATAGAAAAATGCCTTATGAAAACAAAAGGGCCAAAGTTCATACTGTCGTTGATGGCGACCAAAAAACACTTACATGCTTCCGCCACTCATTGCTTTAGGAACAACAAAATTCTCATCCTCGTCTACCAAGGCACTGAATATTTCGTACATGAACAAAAAAAATCCATCTTCAAAGAACCGCCACTGTCTCGTCTCTTTAAATAGAACAGAAACTCTATCAAAACTCAAACAAATACCAAAAAATAGAGTCCTCCCGCCAGCAAGGGCTAGGATCCACCTTGCCTACATGGCCCTAAGGCCACAAAGACGTGGCCGACATGCGCTGGTGCCGGCACCGGTGGGGCACAAGAAACCTAGCGGCTAGATGCCCTTTGCGTACGAGCAGCGAGGCTATTACGAACGAAGGGGTAGCCTATGCTACACCAGCTACTTTTCAAAGATGCATATATAGTTATATTTGTTGAACAAATAGTGGAGGTGTTTATGGGCGATTTCTTCAATTTTTTAGACTTCTCTTGATAATTATTTGCAGAATCTTCATAAAGTTTTGCAGAGATGTGAGGATCAATCTGGTTTGTAGGCAGGCACAAAAAAAAGGCCGGAGCTGGAATGGTACTAAGAGATAACCTATGTAACATCATCTTCTCGTCCTGCAAGGTACTCTTCTCATGTTGGGATGCACTCGAGGCTGAGCTAAGTGCATGCATGGAAGGGCTTTCTATCGCTATTCAGGGATTGTAACTTCCAGTTTGCCTTGAGATAGACTCACTTCCCGCTGTCAACTTGGTGAAAATGGGAAGACATAGATAGGTCTATCTATGCGTCACTGGTGGTAGAAATCAAACATTTATTGTCTCTTCGTAGAACTCGTATTACTCATGCCAAGCGTGATCAGAATGTAGTTAGTGATTACTTAGCAAAGTTTGCAAGATCGAAGGGCAGAACCGTACTCTGGCTGGGTTCCGAACCAGCAGAAGCTGTTGCTCTTTGTAAGGAGATATAGCCCTTGAGTAATACTATCAGTATTTACCTGCAAAAAAAAGCAAGTTCCATACATATGTTTCCCATCAAAATAATTCATGGACCATGCTTAAGGATTCAAGATTGAAACTCGGACTAGCAAGTCTAGAATTTGATCCCAACTTCTTCTTTCTAGTAGAAAAAAAAGGCATTCATTTCGTACATGTTCTCATCGTACGTGCAAGGCGGAATAGGAGCCTGTGCACATTTGAAGCTGCATTAGCCAAACCGTACACGTCGATCCGGATCCAAATCATCCCGAAAGGACAGCCATGTTACCTCAAAAATTGCCAATCAATTATTATGATCTAAAGAAATCGAGAAATATTACCTGGGACGTCATGACTCACGATCTATCCCTGAGCTGTTCGTTAATGAAACAGATCGATGTAGCGAGCACGTGCGGCTGCTAACCAGGTTCAGTCCACCGTGTCATCGCCAAAAACGAACCGGGGCGCATAGGCGTCCAAGTGCAACGGCCCCCCTGTCCAGCCTCTCGAACTCCAATCATTCGCCCTCGCCTGTCCCGTTGTATGCAC